TGGAGCATCAGTTGGGTTAATTCTGAAGCAGAAAAACTAAACAACAAGAACCTCTGCCCAAGGCAGAAGCCAAGTGTAAGGCTATTAAGTATCTGGGTTAGGTGGGTAAATCCCCAGGTGAAGGATCAGATGCACAGAGAAGGGAGATGTCATGTCATCTTCTGTCTTTTAAAGATGGAAAGCAGAAACAATGCCCTGACAAAGAACATCCTCAGGCCATTGGTCCAGCCATGTGAGATCTGTCAGAAAACAAGTACTCCTGACTAACCTCAATCTTAAACCCAACTACAAATAGTTAAAACTATAACGAGAGAATTGCATAGTATTAACTGTATCCAGATGATCAATATCTTCATTGGAATCTGCTGACATTGCCTATGATTGTATTCCCTCACCTACATAAACTCAAGCAATAAAATGCACCTTTTAAGCCTTTTCAAATCCTGAATCTTAATTTCATATTTAACCTTATTTTTCACCAGCCCCAAGTTATCATTACTTGGGCCAGAACTACATCTAAAATCCCTTCCTCCTCCAACAACTCTCCCTCCAGTGCTCCTGTTTTTTAAACTGCTTGGTAGGATCTCTACAGGCCCATCACACACTTCTGCTGAGTGGCCAGGAAACACTCCTGGGTGCAGATCTTGTTCTAGTCTGCAATCAGCTGGTAGGTTGGGCTGGACCAGAGGCTGATACCCACATTCCTTCTCAGAACCAACAGGAGAACACCTTCAGTAAGCTCTGGAACGGCTCAAAGACCACTGACTTTTTACTCACTTTTACAGGGGTTTCTGGATTTGGGAATGCTCCAGTCAGGAGGAAATATTCAAGGATACTATTACATGGGAAATCTCTGAGAGACTTGATAAATTCTGAATGTCTCAATGTGATCTGTAGAACATAACTCTGGAAAACTGAGCAACCCACGTGAAAAAGCTAACAAATTTTCTAAATTTTTCTAACAAATATTTTCTCTAACAATAAAGAGGTGCATGTGGTGATGACCTGTGCTGCACACAGCTCTGCTCCACACACCTAATTTCCATTCAGAATTCACAGGAAGATAGGACTTGGCACCTACATTTCCGGTCTTATCTAGTTTTATCTTTCTGATTTCATGGATGAAATGTGGAAGTAGCTTTTGGCACATGAAGTGCTGTTCTTCTCCTTCAGATGCAGATCTGAATTTTAAAAAGAAAACTGCCTTGTCTGCAGCAGCACAGCGAGAAATTCAGATTTACCAATTTAATTGCCAATTATTATCAAAAGCTTCTAAACAGTCATGGTTTTGTCTTAGAAGGGACCATTTGGGGAGTGCTATTGTACCTCACCCTCTTGATGGAAAAAAAATTATCTAGGCTTATTTGCTTCAGATCTTGCACTTGGGTAAGACAATTTCTCATAGTTCTATTTTGTTGCACTGAAGTTACCTATGAGACAAACTAACTGATTAGCACTGAAACTGCAGAAATTGGGGTTAGGGAAGTAGCAAGGTAATGAAAAAAAATCACCTAAATACCCAAATTACAGCCATATTTTCCTCACAGTAAGACTGATTCTCAATGCTTGGAGGATAATAGCAGAAACCAAAAGAAATTAGAGCTGTCAGATGAGGAAATCAGGATGGGAATTCCTCGGCAGACTGTCCTAACACACCTGAAAGCCATGAAACTGCAGCAGCTTTCCCCCTCAGAACCTGCCAAAACTCTCTGTGGCCAGTTGCCCTCCAGGAAATAATCCTTCAGTCACCATGGTGGCTGCTTACAGAAAAGTGTGCCTCATTCTGGTTTTATTAAATTTAAATCTTTCATTAGCAGTGCTGGAGGATGAATTTGAGCTAACTCTGAGTCCTCAACAGCTCCAGCTGGAAATGCCAAAGGGTTACACATTTAATAGGTATTCAAACTCCATTTTTCATTCACTCACCTCTGCTTTGCAGCTCAGCTGTGAGTTGCCTTTCCAAGCTCTCTCGTAGTTCTCGCTCTCTACAAAGCTCCATCTTTAACTCCTTCTTTTCCTGCTGTATCTGCTTTTCCTGGACTCTTGCATTGTCCACAGCCACTTTCAGTAGGCCCTAAAACACACACAAATGTAAGAGCTGAAAACACCATTTTGTTTCAGTGGGGACAAAATTCATTTGTTTCTTTACACGCAAAGAAAAGCAAGAACCTATAGACCTGGAGCACAACTGGAGCATCTGAAGTAGCTGAATGTTACATAGGAGGAATTTTGTGGCCTGGAATAATTCAGTATAGATTTGGCTTATTCATCCTACTGCTGTGGTTTGTTACAAAGCCAGTGCCATGTCACTGCTGACCTTGGTCAACTGCAGGGAGAAGCACTGGAGGAATAATGAGACTGGTGAATTTTAATATGACAATTATTGCCAATTATTAAGTCAGACAGACAATATATGAAACCCTTTCACGACTGATAATGCCAGAGAGGCGAAACCCAAGCATTACATTAAATAAATGAGAAACTGCAGCTTTAAAATAGTTTCTCTAACTTTTTAAGAGACTGAAAAAGAAACACATTTTATCTATCATGACCTGTAGAGAATCATTTACCTGAATGTTGGTTAATAGTGTTTCTACTGACGAAAGACCATCAGCAAAAAGAAATGGCGCAGGGAATCCAGGAGGCAAAGCCTGTCCAGCCAGTTGGACTTTATCTAGGGTTGGTTTCATTATTGGAATGGCAATTTGGACCTCTTCTGCAAAGAGAGGTTTAAAAGGGACATCAGAAGGCATTGGAAACAGAGGGGAATGTGGCTTCTAGAAATTAGCACTCTGTTCACCTGGAAGTCAAAACACAACGCGTCAGTAAAATCGACATGGTTTCAGTCTTTGGGCAGCAGGGATTGCAAAGAGCACAGAACAATAATCAATATACTGAGACTAACACAGCTGTAATAGAGTGCAGACTATTATACCTCAGATTCTACAGAATTATACTACAGAATTAGAACAGCATTACGCAGCTCATTAAACCTGAATGACCTTTCTTCATCCTATCATGTTTGCCACTCTGTGATGTGCAGGTTTTGTTGCTGTAACCTTGACAAAATTCTAATCAAGGAATGCATCACATCTCTTCACTCCTTTCCCTCTACCCTTCCCATGCTCAGTAGTAAATAATCTCCTTGGAGTCATCCCCTCCTGCTCTGCACCAGCTCTGTGGTGTCAGTAGGGTCAGAGCAGGGACCTGAGCAGTTGCCTCACTGCTCTCAGCCCTCCTAGGCACGGACAGCAGCCAAAAATGCTTTGCTGAGTTCTCCCTACAGCATGTAGAGAGAGCTGGGTGGTGCTGGGAGGCACAGGAGCAGCACAGGACTAGGCTGGTGCGTCTCAGAGTGCAGAACTAGGCCCTGGCACTTCCCCTTCACTCCTCGTTTCCAGCAGATCCTGTTGGGAGAGACCAAGCTGTGCACAGGCAGTAGAAATGTGTCTCCAAAAAGAAACAACAACATTAGTAAATATTTTTCAAATAGCCTTCAGTGTTGGGGCGAAATCAGTGCTATCACCAATGAACTTGTCTATTTGTATGTATAGAATAATTTTAACTCTTTTCAGATAGTAAATGTAGCTCCTTCTCTCATATCCCTGTATTTCTTCCCACGTATCATTTGAAACAGCGAGTTAATTGCCGGAAACTACAGAATTAAAATCTAGCAGCCTCTAAAGCCAAACTCAGTACATTTCTTTTACTCTGAAAAGTTCAAACACTATTTCTGTGTAATATTCCATGAAAATCCAGTCTATAGCTATGATGATCCTGCACTTGCAGAAAACATGAGAAATCTCCTCAACAACTGCTTTTTAGTAAAGCTGGTGACTCCTGCACTGCCCATGAGCTGATGCTGCACAGCCAGCCCTGAGAGTTTCATTTGCCAAGTCTCTTGGTCATATTAAAGTGCAGGTTTACAATTAGACCACATCATATTCAAAAAGTTTCCTTCTCCCACCTCTTATTTAAGGAAAAACCAGCTCAGAATCTGAGAGGGAAAGCAGCCAGGGGTGTCTCAGCAGCAGCAATATTTATTTCCTAGTATCACCCACTCCAGGAGCCTCCACCGAGTAGCACTTTTTGCATTGTGTCTAAAACACTCACCTGACAACAAACCCGGAGCATTAGCAGCTTTCAAGTCTTCTCTGAAATCTCTGTTTAGGGAGCATTTTGGTTTTGCTGTGTGAGTTCATTAAATGGAACATCTTCATAATGATTCTTCAGGACTAATAACAAAAGGCAGTAACCTCTACACATCCTCAGAGCTAACAGCTTAGATGTAATTTACATGATCTATTTAAAAAAAAAATAAAATCCCAACTCGGGGAACATCCTCAGACCACGGAGTTTGTGCTGATTCAGACACACCATTTCTCATATTAAATATATCAGTGGCAGAGTTTTTAAAATAAACTGATTAGTTGTCGTGTCTGATGCTGCACAGAAATAACAGCTAAGCCATGGAGCCACAAAAGACTAAACAGAAGTGGCATTTGAAAAAAAGAAAGCACTACATGAAGTATGCATAACAAAACTGGAGCTGCTCTAACACCTCTAGAAATCTCCACTATTTGGAGATGAAAGTAATAACATTAAATTGGCCGAAAGGAAAATTACTATTGACTGTGAAGACAGGTTGCATGGTCTATGGTTTGTAATGCTACTGTACAGCAGATTGAAGTTTCAAAATAACATTACTCTTCTTTAAAGAGATAGACACAGCTAAATTAGGTGCTGCTTGCTGCAGTGAGGATCAAATGCAAAAAGAATCATATTTCATCAGACCTAGTCAACAGCAGGAAAATAAATAGAAATATAAGAGGTATGCAGGCAATGATTCATTTTGATAATCTGGCCCAAGAGAGACACATAGAGACAGCACACAGATCTAAGCTTCTACCAAAAGACAAATAGGACACAGAGGGTGGGAATTGGGATGACAGTGTAGCAGAGGTCACATCGATTTTCAGCAGCAGTTTTCACACAGATGAGATAACCCTGGACTCTATTTGGCCCATTGTTCATATCCTACCTGTCCCAGAAGCAATAAATTTCCAAGTCCCAGAAAAAGGGCAGTAAAGAAGAAGGATTCTACTTATGACTTCTTATGATTAAGTTTTTGTGCTAACCAAACATGCTTTGCAGACCAAGGTCACATTGCATGTTAAAGTCTGTAATAGCTGAAACTAGAAGCAGCATATTATGTTTTAGCGTATATGGGTGGAAACTGTCAAACCATTCATCATTTTTTTTTCTGATTGAAATCACACTCTGCAAAGATGAATGATAAATGCATTAGAAATCTATTTCAATCTTGTAATAGGTCTTCACATCTGAACGGTGTCTACAGCTTGCCCAGACTCTGAATAAGTGCACAGTTAGGCAGAAATTTATTAGCTAGACTCGAGGAATCATAATTGGTAAAGCAATTAAAAATGGCATGTGCTGGAAGCATTTCTTGTGGATTGTATCAAATGCATCTCTAATGGGGAAAAAAAAGGAAGGGTTTGATTTTAAAGAACACTAAAAATATAAATGCTAAAAGCTGCACTCACACACAGAGCACAACAGAATGAGCAGGAAATAAAGCTCAGGGAGCTCAGTCTGACCAAGGACACAACCAACCTTTCTGATTATTGAGGCAAAGTGGGAATTACTTTCATCCAGCCTGTTTGTTAAACCTGCCATGCTTTATAAAAGCATTCAGAAATCCATTTACAGTGCAGACTTTTTATTTTAATTTCTAGCTGACATCCAGATGAATAGACGAGAGCAAGAATTACACTGCAGAGCAAAGAAACACACAGTAAACACCAACAGTGAGGGGAATATCATCCTGGGAAAGCACACAGAAAGCTGCTAGGAAGTTTCTTGCTCTTAATTCAAGCATTTAATCTTCTGTCTCCTGCCCAAGTTGCAGAAAACAGGGATTGGAAAATGAAGCATCAACCCATGGCCTAAACACGGAGCTGGAAACAGGAGGGATACAAACTGCTCCTTGTGTGACCCAGCCCAAACCAACAGGCAGTTTTATTTGCCAGGAGTTTGTTTTCTTTCAGAAGTCATGTTTTTAAACTCATCAGTCACACACCTGAGACACTCAACATGTCACTGCTCTCAAAACAAGGTAGAGATATCAAAGCAACAATTTACATCTTGCCTAACACCAGTTAGACCATCAAGTTATTCCTTCAGAAACACTTCAAAACTTTTATCTGTCTGGGGCTGTCTAAGCATTATTCACCTAAAATAGCTCAGAGAATATAACTCCTGCATAAAATAAACACATGGTGTATAGAGAAGAGAGGAAATAATTAATATAAAGTTTATAGTTATTAAACTGTTAGTTATTAAACAAGACATTGTCACTCATAAAGTCTTCATGCAGCATTAAGAAGTTGGGTTAGGACAGAGGTGGCAGCTGGGTCACTCCTTTACCCTGCCTGGGGCACACAATTTAGAAACCTAAGTGGTTTATTGTAATTATAATTCTTTGAGCTTCATACCTGAGTGATGGGGATTACACTTAATGGACCATAGTTACACAACAGCCTGGATGCTCTAATGGACCTCTCTGACTTTAATAAAATAGAGCAGAGGATCTGCAGCCTCAGCTGGGTCGTCTGTGTGACTCATCTCTGGAAGGAAGATACATATTTGAAATAGCATCACTTGCCCAAAGGTCTAACAGAATCATCCCAACTGATCTGTCTTTGCGGTGGCAAGAGGTCCCTTGACTTCCAGCTCTACATCCACTTCACAACAACAGGGACGGACAGTGGTATCCAAACACGGGTGTTTTGATGGAATTAGGGTACCAAATTCTTATTTTTGACTGCAAAAAGCAGTTTCCTAAAATAGTGAGACTTCTTATTTTAATTTTAAACCTTGGCAATTCTGTGCTGCGTAACGAGAAACCAGTATCTATTTTTTACAGCAAGGTAAGTCTGAAACGCTGTAATCTAAAGCTTTGTTTATTCCAAGTATTTTGTATTTCTAAGGCTGCAAGGACAGGGTTATCTGTCTTCCACGTTTTAATAACTCTGAAAACCCTCCGTAACCCTCTTCCTGCCTTTTCCTCCCTCACTCATTGCTTCTCTGCCAGGAGCTGAGCCTTCTGATCAGCAGTGAGAAGAGATACCTCCTCCAACCTGGCACCAGTCAGACTTAGAAATTTACTGCTTTAACCTTGTGATTCAGGTGCCAAATTTAAAGTCACTGCTGTTTTTCTTAATTACAGCCCCTGAATGAACAGGGTCAATGAATGCAATTGGGGAGTAGCTGATTAATCCAGTGCACTAGCTTTCAATGAGACTTTATCTCGTTTGCAAGTGACTGATACAACTTGATAGCACCAAGCATTATTCACTACTGAGCTTTGCCATAAAAAGCTTCACTTTCAGAACTGTATCTAAAAATTACATATACATTTCCTACACATTTCCAGGCTGTCTTCAAAGCTTTTAGAAACAATCATGAAACAGCAACACCAACTACGCTCTGCTTCATGGGATCTGCATCCAAGCAGGTTCTCACCCATGTGCACTGAAACCAATTCAATTTCTCCTGAACAAGTGTTTAATAAAACCTTTTGATTGCTTTCAGCACAGGGGGAAAATGTAGAGTTGCTGAGGTTGGAAAAGACCTTTAAGACAGAGTTCAACAGTTCCCCCAGCACTGCCAAGGCCACCACTAACTCATGGACCC